TTTTCCCCTACTCCCCCCCCTACCCGACTTGTAAAGCGACCTTGGGTTTCGTGAAAGGCGCTATATAAATATTATGTATTATTATTATTATTATTATCATCATGTGAAACAATTAAACATGTGCATTTGGTATGATTTCATTACTTATGTGATCAAAACGTTTCTAACACAGTAAAATAAAGTTGAACAACATAATTCATAGCAAGCCAGCTAACACCAGCAGTTGCCTGTCTTCCAGCCTTTTATTTTGCAAAGCGCTTGCTAACAACTCAAAGCTAGTCTAAGAATTGCTCTTGGCCTCTTTGCTGGTCCTGAAAACCTCCTCCTCCCAGTGGTCCAAATCTCCTGTGCTAGCTCTGTAAACTACAGCAATCCCCAAATGATCCAAGCTCCCAGTCCTTGTTGAACAGCTAACAAGGCAGCTAAAGTTAGCAGCAGTTAGCAGTTAGCAGTTAGCGGTTAGCAGGTAACAGTTAGCAGTTAATGACCTACTTTAGCAACAAGAATTATTCAGTCTATCAGGAAACTCTCAGGACAAATTCAATAGCACTCAGAAAGCGTCGGAGAGACAACCATAACACATTTTCTCCATAGAATAAAACCGTTTCACCAAATTCAGTGGGTCAGTTGCGTGTGGCGTACCCCGTTAAGAGTTATTTTCACTATTAAAAGTCAGCAGTTATTTTAAGGGTTAAATAGTTGCAAAATGTTGCTTTAAAATGTTGGTCATGTATTTCTATTTTGAGAGGGAATTTAAGAAAAAATCCTTATCCAAACTCTTTATGTACAAATCAATCTCTTTATTAAACCCTTTGCACATTGCCCAAGATAAACCAAAGCTTGACAGGCCGTGTCTACTTGACTTTAATAATGGCTTAATGGAGGATTTGGGTCTGGAAGAGACAGAGAGATGAATGTAACAGTGTATGCTAAAGAGGGATTCCAGCACCGAGCGGAGGCCTCAAGGGATTCCCCGACAGGGAGTTTAATTCACAATAATTTGATTCACCAGAATATGTCCCATTACAGCACGAATCAGGAGGGAGGACTTAATAATAGGCATCGCCACTTCCGCAACTATGTGCCCTCATACATGGCAAACAGCTCAACAACTTAATACTAAATGATCAATCCACATGTGGGATTGACAATCCCCACAGGAGCAATTTGGGGTGAAGTGTCTTGCCCAGGGACACAACGGCATGCTGACTGCAGTGGGGTTTGAACCTGTGGTCCCCGAAAACCAACGCACATCCCACTGCACCACATGCCTCCCTTATATATATCCAATTTTACCTGAGAAATAGAGCCAGGAATTGTTTTATCTGACATCCTGCGTGGATGAAAGTGACTTTAAGCTCTGCTACATGGACACGCATGCTATGAAAAGTCACACACATGCGCTAAAATGTCACCTCACCTCTGCCGACAGTGTCTCCTTGCTGCTAGGTAACAGAGGGGTTTGCACCCTCAGCACTGGGCACCTGCACAAGTCCTTGTATAGGAAGAGAGCGAGGCTAAGAAAAGACTCTGATGTCCAAACAGCTGCTGTTTACCTCCCTTTCTCTCCTGCTCACACACTTTCTATAGCTCTCCGTCTTTACCCTCCGTATGTCCCTGCTAGGACAGTCCCTCTACCTGACGCCAACACTTAAATGCAGACCACTCAAGGAAATAAGCTGCTGCCTTATTCCCCCTGCAGGGTGCAGAGCAGCTGTTTGAGAACGTCCATATTCCTTTTAAATATACCAAAATGTACTATGTTAACCCATAATAAAATGTGAGCACATAATGTGTTCGACAAGCTGGTAGCAGATGGATTAATGTGTCAAAGAAACATTAAGAAACAAGAATTTCCAATTCTTTTTTATTCCTTGTCCGCAACTTATTTGTTTTTGTGACTGAACCGAACCATACCTTAACAATAATGTTGTTACGTCAGAAAAATACTTCTTATTCTAGGGGGTACGCACCCTGTCGATTAACTTGAAGGTCTTGGAGGTCAGGTAACATTTCCTCTTGTCGTGGAAATTGGTCTTGCTTGCATGTCCTCGAGAACTTTTTCATCAACTTCCGCAAACGTGTACAAACTAGTTGACACGTTCTCCATGGAGCTTTCATAGCCTCTGGGGTTGTGGGACTCTGACAGTCGCCTACTTTACCCTCCTTTTTTGCTTTCATGCATTTAGCAATAACAGGAAATTGTCCATGTCCGACGCCCGCTCATTGACTCGAAGTCCATTTATTTGAGGCAAGGGCTGATGCCTTGTTAGAGCTGGCAGGATGCCAATTTGTAATTTGGAAGTTTCTTACCATTCCTTAAATTTGTCTGAAGATCATGGTGTTGAACCTTACCAACAGAAATGTCTGAAACCCTTCAAAGTCCAGGAGGACGTTTTTATTGACGACTGTGTAAATGATTCTGTGCCTCCACATTCAACTTACCGGTACATTACAGTCTTAAGATCTAAAAACACTTTATGCGGTTTACACCCTCACCTGCAGCATTGCACAGTGCAGAGAGGAGAAAGGTGAATTGCTTTGGTCCCGTGAGATCGGCCATGAAATTGAATTGCGCCGCCAAGGATGAAAGGGCCAAATAACCATGAATGAAAGTAGATGATGTCAGCAGTTTTTTGGTGGAGCACAATTTTAAGATGGCAGTTTTCATAAGCTTGATTTTGTGTGACATTGCGAAGGTGCCAACACGCAGAGTTGAACGGGTTCAGTTTGGCATGGAGGGGACATGGTAATGGACTGAAACATGTTTCCTTAAAGTATCTCTTCATCAAACTCTTGACACTTCTCTTTCAAATGTCTTCCTTGTGACTTCTCCCAATATCAATCCCTCAGCTGGACTTAAATTCTCTTTTCAGAGCTAACAGTCTTGTCCTTCTTCTGTCAGACCCCAGTGCTCCATTATTCAGACTTCTCTATGAAATTTCCCTCAACTAATTTCAGCCGGGATTCTCCTTCATCTTCATTCGCATGACTCAACCATAAATATTCTTCTGCCCACACACACACACACACACACACACACACACAAGCATAAAGTGTAATGAAACTGCACCAGGGGCAGTTTGGGGGTTACCAGTGAGAGGACTTGAGGAAAAAGTGAGCGATACCGCCACTTCAAAGCCTCCGCAGACTCTGTCCTTCCCCTGCAGCTTCAGATGGATTAAGGCCACTCCAGGACTGTTTGTACCCCATCAGCTCTCCTTCAGTTTGAACACAGAAAGCACCTCTGGAAATATGTTCCCGAAAAGAGGTCCAAAATCTCAATTCCCTATGGAAAGCAACCCATTGAGTATAACAATAGGTCTCATGTCGAGTAATTGAAGAAATATAATACACTGATTAGCTCAATTTCAGGTTAATGTGTGATTTAAGTTGCCATTTTAAATGAGCCAGCTTTGTTTTCATCAACCAATCTTGCAATTTACCAAAGGAATTATTGTTAATGGTAACAACTGATCAAGAGCTACAAGCTATATTATTGAAATACACAACTTCATCAGTAACAGATGTTTTTGTTCCCAGGCAAAAAGTTTAACAGGAAAACAATAAACATATATTTTGAATAATGAATTTCAAAATATCAAGTAATTCTTAATTACATGAAATGAAAAGTGTATGGTTAGTTTGAGATCATAAGCCCTTTTTTTATAATACAAATGTGTTATTTTGACCGTTTTGATGTACTGAGGCATTATAAGTCATTATTTTGGTTTAGTTTCTTATTATTTTAAGCTTTTATGTCATTATTTCAAGAAAGTTTGTGGTTAATAATGACTTACAGGATATATTTTCTTACATTTCAAAGCTATCTTTTTTGGTGGAAATGGGCTTTCATGACAGAGACAAGAATGAGGTAATGTCTTAACTCATAACTGGGAGACGTGTGGCGCAGTGGGTTGTGCGTTGGTGTTCGGATCAGGGGGTCCAAGGTTCAGGTTCAAACCCCACTGCAGTCAGCACGTCGTTGTGTCCCTGGGCAAGACACTTCACCCCAAATTGCTCCTGTGGGGATTGTCCACAGTATTGACTATGTAAGTCGCTTTGGATAAAAGCGTCTAACAGGTGACATGTAATGTAACAACTAAGATGGCGCTGCAGATGGCTGTTTTGGTGCGCTCTGTTTTGTCTTGGTTTGTGCGTTAATTCAGTGTTTACATACAGCACACCGAACCCTTTCACCAGGGAAGAGCTCATATGCACCACGACACCTAGTCAAATTCCTCGTAAGTGTAAACCTACCTGTTAATAAACCTGTTTCTGATTTCTGATTTCTTTTGTGAATTGAGTGGTTTTGCGATGCATGTTAATATTCATTTACGTAAAGGTCAAATAACAATCCTCCAGACTGACAACAATATAAAATCTGTATAACTTCTTATACTTGCACCTTATACATTAACCTCTGAAGTAAGTTTCCAGAACATATTTAAATGTGTCATCGTCACCACCCATGGAAATAACAGATGAAACCCACAATAGGTGCAAAAGGCAAAGTCATGCTGGAGCTGCAGGAGCTGGAGGTCACTGCAGGAGACTTCGCTCGTCTGAACCTGAGTCCAGTGATAAAACTGTCAGAGGCAGAGCAGAGAGATATGACTGTCATCCCAAATGGTTCTTATAACCTCCATCTGAAGACAGTGAAGAGGAGGAGAGGAAGAGACTGGCACCTCGGGCTCTTCTAATTGAAATGAAAGAGACATTAACGGCCCGTCCA